GAAAGTGCAACTTACAAATTAGAATTTTTTTTGTTACTCAAAACTCAAAAACCATGTAAAACTTCAGAGCCCACAAGTCCACTCAGACCTGCTTCTTGTTCAGCCAATCACTAAGACAAACAAGTTTGTTTACGTTTACAGGAGATAATGCTGCCCTCTTCTTATTTACAATGTCACCAGAAAGTGAGAACAGGCATTTGCATGACACTTTTGTAGCTGGCATTGTAAGGTGTTTAAGTTCCAGATACGCTAAACATTCGTATGCCCCGTCATGCTTCGGCCACCATTCCAGAGGACATGCTTCCATGCTGATGCTCGTTAAAAAAACCAAACGTTAATTAAATTTGTGACTGAATTCCTTTGGGGAGAATTATACGTCCCCTGCTCTGTTTTGACCGCATTCTGCCATATATTTCATGTTATAGCAGTCTTGGATGATGACTCGGCAGAAGTTGTTAAGAACACTTTCACTGCAGATTTGAGAAAACGCAAAGAAGGTACCAATGTGAGATTTCTAAAAATAACTACAGCACTCGACCCAAGGTTTAAGAATCTGAAGTGCCTTCCAAAATCTGAGAGGCATGAGGTGTGGAGCATGCACTCAGAAGTCTTAAAAAAGCAATACTCTGATGCGGAAACTACAGAACCCAAACCACCAAAAAAGAAAGCTGCTTTGGATTATTATTGAGCAGAACCCCTCATCAGCATGGACGTGTGTCCCCTGGCATGGTGATTGAAGAACGAAGGGACATATGAATCGTTAGCGCCTCTGGCACGTAAATACATTACAACGCCAGCTACAAAAGTGCCATGAGAACACCTGTTTTTACTTTCAGGTGACGTAAACAAGAAGTGTGCAGAATTATCTCCTGCAAATGTAAACAGACTTGTTTGTCTGAGCAATTGGCTGAACAAGAAGTAGGACTGAGTGGACTTGCAGGCTGTAAAATTTTACATTGTTTTATTTTTGAATGTAGTGAGTTTTTGGTACATAATTCTACATTTTTTAAGTTCAACTTTCATGATAAAGAGATTGCACTACAGTATTTGCATTGTGGATTGAAAAATACTATTTCTTTTTTTTTTTTACTGTGCAAATATTTGTAATAAAAAATAAATATAAAGCGAGCACTGTACACTTTGTATTCTGTGTTGTAATTGAAATTGATATATTTTGAAAATGTAGAAAACATACAAAAATATTTAAATAAATGGTGTTCTATTATTGTTTAACAGTGCGATTATTCGCAATTAATTTTTTTTAATCGCTTGACAGCCCTAATAATTATTAAAATGAACAGGCAACTTGTTTTTCTGTCTTCCTGTGGATCAGTGGGTCACAAACTTTTGTACTGGTGATGCCTTTCACATAGCAAGCCTCTGACTATGACCCCTCTTATAAATTAAAAACACTTTTTTATATATTTAATACCATTATAAACGCTGGAGGCAAAGCTTCGGGATGGAGGCTGACCGCTTGTGACCCCCCCCCCGTGTAATAACCTCGTGACCCCTTGAGGGGTCCCGACCACCAGTTTGAGAACCCCTGCTCTAGATCTTAATAGTTTATTAAGTCAAAGCATGAAGAGAGAAAGGAGGTGGGACCCATGTAATGTACATAGGAAACTTGGTTGTGACTTTGGAGCAGAAAGTGATTTCATAAGTCTCTAGCTTTTCCATCAGGTTGATTGGAATGTTTTTTGGGGGTTTAAGGAAGTAAAAGCTCCAGTTGTAGAGTAGACATGTTGCTAGTTCTAGGGGAAATTCCATTGCCTGCATTATGCAGGAGGTCAGACTAGGTCAGGGATCTCAAACTCAGATCACCACGAGGGCCACATGAGGACTAGTACATTGGCCCAAGGGCCGCATCACTGACACCTTTTCATATAAAGATACAAAAGCCTGGCCCCACCCCACTCCACCCCTTCCCCAAAGTCCCCACCCCAACTCTGCCCGCTCCATGCCCCTATTCCAACCAAATCCCCACCCCTGCCCCACCTCTTCTCCGCCGCCTCCCCTGGGCGCGCGGCTCCCCCCTCCCTCATGGAAAGCCCTAAGAGCCTGGAGGTAGGCAGAGTAGCAGGGACACGGTGTGCTGGGGGGGGAGAGGGGGTGGCGTGTGAGGGGAGCTTGGCAGCCGCAGGAAATAACTCCAGGAGGAGGGGGGCGCGGGGAGCTTGGCAGGCCGCAGCAAATAACTCCGCGGGCCACGTGTTTGAGACCCCTGGATTAGGTGATCACAATGATCCCTTCTGGCCTTGCGGTCTATGAATCTATAGTTTAGTGAGACAATGGCCACAAATGTAGAAAGCTTCAGTTTCACGAATTGAATACCGTATTCGTGCCTTTATTGCAAATATCCAACCTCTCAAAATAACAAATATCTAAAGTCTCTAATGTCCTTCTCTTCCTTCCTTCTCTTTTCACGTCAGTGATAAAACCTAACAAAGTCTTTACTGTGCATTGGCATTGAACCTGCATGTCCATGAAAAGCTCTGTCCTTGAAATAGTTTTGCTTTTATGAGGCCTGCTTTTAAGTTCTTGTCATCTCAAAATGGCGGTTCCAGAATGTTGGCACTCAGCGTACACTATAGTTAGCTGGTTTACTGTGCTTTTATTACTATTTTTGATACGGTCTCTTTCATGTAATTGTTTCTGAGTGTGTTGGGTTATTTCATCGTGATATACAATTAAAACATTCTCTTCGGTCACACATTGTGTTATCGCCATTCATTAATTTGACAATACAAAGGTGTGATTCATATTGTTTCAAGGTTTGTTTTGAAAAGCTCTAGTTAACATTGGGCATATCATCATAGCGTACCTAGCACAGAGACATTAACATGTGTGAATTTTGGTGACAGATGTGAAAGTGGTGCCAGCCCAGATTTCATGTGGCTGTTTGAAGTAAATGTTTAATGAACAGAATATTTTGTCAGGCCATTATTTTGTTCCTATTTACATAACCATTAGTTCTGCTTATGGGCTGCAAAATATGTTGAGCAGTTGAGGGAATTATTTTTTTTTATACCCTGTGACAAGTTTGCCTGAAGACTTTGTGTCCATAGTGACGCAGCCACTGTTGTCTGGTAACTGTGTGGAAATATTGTCTATTTAAGAAGGACCACTGAGTCGTCTTGTTTGGATTTGTCCAACAGGAAAAATGTATCGTGTAGTCAGTCACATAGTGTCCTGTCATTATATCCTTTGCATCTGTCTGGTATAGCACTGCCTGACTGAGTGCTGGTGGAACTTCCTCTCACTGGCAAAATCCAGCTGTGGTGTGTGTGAATCTCAATCCTGTGGAAATCACTGGGCCAAATATTGCAGTGACATACATTTTGGTGGCATTGGCCATATATTGGATGTAAGTGGTAAAGTAATGTAATTTGCACCAATGTGACATTCATTGGGTGTGGAAAATGAATGTAATATACATACCAATGAGAAGGAATGGGGTGTGTATCAGGCAAAACAATTAACAAGAGGATGTACAAAGCAGTCACGCAAACTTGTCCTACATCATCAGGTGAGCGCTGATCCAGAAACCACACCTTTTAGGTCTGTTATGTTTTTTAAAAAATTACTTGATTTTTACCCAAATTTGGTAAACAGAAAGCTGAGTGCATTCATACCCATAGATCACTGTTACTCCTGACCTAGGCGCTGCTCCATCAAAGCACTTCAGCTTGTGTTTTACATTAAGCATATGAGTAGCCCCATTGGCTTAGGGGGACTTACTCACATGGTTAAAGTGAAGCAAGTGCTTAAGTACTTTGCTGCATCTGCATTTCTAGGGGTGGACCCAAACCCCATTGAAGTGAATGGAATTCTTTCCGTCAATTTCAGTAAGCTTCGTATCTGACCCTTATGTCCCTATATACCAGTTACTTCTCCGAACTTCCAGTGAAATGAAATGAAGAGTTCATCTGCCAGCTAGTGTATGTATTTCTATTTGCTAATTTCCTTGATAAATCTCCTTTCTTGCCCCTGAGCGTGAAATCCTGGCCCCTCTGAAATCAATGGGAGTTTTGCAATTAATTTCAACTGGGCCATGATTTCATGGTATGTAAATTCCATGCACTTTACATATCCCTGAATATCCATATGGTGCATAGCAATACTTTGCCTCTTTCTTTCTTATAGCCAGTTCTTTGACCAGTTTGCCAGGCAATATGTAATTTGTAAGTACATTGCCATTTACCTCTTCTCAGAATTTGGTTTACCGGAACGCAACAGGATCATGTAAGAACATGTCCTACAAACACACAGTGATGTGGCCCCAAAATAAATTCCAAAATTTCTAATTTTCCTACAAGTTAGTCTTGCAAGACCACAAATGAGTATTGTAAAATTTGGTATTTTTCTACTAATTTTAAGACTAATGGCGTATTAGCAAACCTAATTTATGACAACTTTGTAGTCATATTATAAGATGTATTTTTGTTTGTTTTAGATTAATTAAAGAAAGTAATGATGTTACCAAGGTTTTATTATTATAATGCCCAAAAGTCTTCTAGATGTTTAAAAAAAAAAATGAGAGACACATTCCCTACGCTTAAGAATTTACAATTTAGATGAAAAAAAGGTGAGATGAAACCAAAGGGAATAGAGAACTACGTGCACAGGTTACAGATACAAGCTCATGAGTTACCTGGCTGCCCAGCATGTCTTAGTTAAAGAACACCACACTACCATTAATTGAATGTGGGGGAGGAGGGAGTTCAATAGTTTGTGTTTTATTGTTTTAAAATTAAAACCACTTTGCCATTTTAAAAGACAAGTGTAATAGGAAACATTCTTTTAAAAGGACGTTATCAAGGGAGTTTTCATAATAAAATAATTATTTTACATACTTATTCATCATATCCCCCGGACGCTTGAAAATGAAAAAACTCCTTCCCAGTGCCCTCCCCGCCCCCCTTTTCACTTGCATTCTGGTTTGTTGTTATAGGGTTACTCATGAGTGTTGTGCTTTTTGGCATTGATATATTTTTCAGAAAAAAGAGAATTGAAGCATTTGTTTTGAAAAAAGAAAAACACATTTAAAGAATTACATGGACTTTGCAAACAGATATAAGAAAATGAAAGGTAGGTCAAATTTCAGGCCTACAAACCTGACAGTGTCCCTTTCATTTTAACATCGATGCTTTATTTGACAAAAATTAATGATTCTTGTAGTGTTACGTTAAGCAATGGCAGACAAATGTAAAAATAATATTGTTAATCTTAATAGCTGTTTTTCTTCTATTTCTTCTATGTTGTTTTTAAACGCCAATGAATGGCTGCAAATGATAGCCTGATTAGACATCTCCCTTTATTTGTGTAATCTGACTACTTTACTTACAGTTTTTTTTTATGTGATAGTTGCTGAGAAAGTGCTTAAAATAAAGTATCAGTGACTAAAATACAGGTGGTCTGTTAAGGACCCAGAGAATTTTTCATTTTAGCATCAGCGTTTACGTCTACCTTTCATTTTATTTCACCAAAAAGCCCTAGTTGAAAATTGGTGTACAAGGTCTTAGTTCAGCAACGATGGGGTGTGTGTGTGTGTGTGTGTTGGGATTTTTGTTTAACAAATTTTAGGTGGCTTATCCATTTGTTAAGTTACCAGAGAATAAGAAAAATAAATGCTGTGGATTCATGTAAGGGCTGGATGGATGATTTGTTGGGCACAACTACTAGAGGAATGAGGGGAATTGGGCATGAGATGCCTTCCTCTCCAAACTTAGTGCCAGAGCGGGTGATCAGGCATTAATCCCCAAGTCTGTGTGAAGACCCAAGCAATCACTCACATTGCTTGTGTATTAGGTTCACCCTGTGTCTGATTCTGTAACTGAAAACTGGTTTCACACTAGATTTGAATGTGTGTTTTGGTTTTTTTTAATAATCATCCTAATGTTCAGTTCTAAAAGGCACTGTTATGTGTCCATATGTAATAGTTACTCTTCACATGTGTAGCTACTGTGCATGTGTATGCGTATTGTACTGTCGTATTATTTATCTTTTATTTCAGTAAAACATGAACAGTTGTTGACACAATTGCCTTGTAGTGGTGCTGAAACTTTGGCCTTAATGATTTTATGTATTGACAAGACAGACTTGTGTCAGTGATTGCTGGAATGAGGCCTGTTGAATTTAGAGCTGTTAGCAGAAGATTCTTTTCTTAAATACATTTAGATAACATTAAGGGCCTGACTTATACCACCAAAACCAGCAAATTCAGAGTTAAGTCTTCTCACTCCATCTTTAATGCACAGTAATGTGTCTGGCTTTTCCAGCACCGTATGGTACAGGAGATCACAAACTGTCCTCAGAACCCTACAACACCTAGGCAAAAAGTTTATCACATGGCTGCTCTGAACATTCCAGGTATGTCCATTTACAGTGCGTGCCCCTGCTGTGCTGCTGGATGTTCCATGTATGTCTTAACATTCCATTGATTTCAGTGGAATGTTAATGGATGATGGCAGCGCACCGCAGGTGTGGTGGAAAACTAGCAGTGAAAGGGGGAAAAGTAAGGATGCCGTGAGAAGCTTCAACTTTGAATTTCCTCGCTTTTGTGCGTATGAGTCAGACCCTTAATGTTGTTTTAATGTATTTTTTGTGTTTAATTTTTAGTAAAAATTTGAACACGATCCAGGCTACAGAGGTTGCAGTGGATAAGAAGTTTAAAAGCTTTGGTTCAAGATTACAGGAGACTGCAAGAAAAGTTAAAGACATGGAAATGAGGATCAAGTGACAGGATGCTATTTTCCCTGAGAATACTGAAGATTGTAAAGCATTGAGAAATCGAATTCATGATCCTGGAAATCAAGCTCAGATTAAAAAATGTCAGGTTGGTAGGGGTTCCTGAAAGTTTGGAGTTAGGATAAACTGAGATTTTTTTTTTGATCATACATTGTGAAGCTGCTGTGATCTGGGGTAGATGGTTTGAAAGTTCTTCTTCTACCTATATTATGATTTAGTTGGGGATTGGTCCTGCTTTGAGCTGGGGGTTGGACTAGATGACCTCCTGAGGTCCCTTCCAGCCCTGATATTCTATGATTCTATGATATACCATATACCTGCAAAAGCCAACCAAGCAAAATTGGCTCTTAAATCTGAGTTAGTATTTGTGGTTGAAAAATCCCATTTTATCCACATTAAAGTTATTCTTTTTTTGGCATTAGGTTGCATGTTTTATTTTAATACAAGCGTGGAAAATATTGCTCTTGATTACACATTTCTTTATCCTGCCACTCTGAGGGCTTGCCGCAGAGACCAGACACATGGCACACCATGACATTTCTAGATAAGATATAGACAGAATGCACCCAAATGGTGGAAGAAATGGTTTCTTGTTCAGAAGACTCTGATTCATAGTGAAACCATGTTTGTCAAATGTAAACTTCAAATGGTTACTGCCATTAAGATGAAATTACTGTAAATTCACTTAAGTGTTGAGTTAGTCTGTAGTTCAGTTATATGGTATTTATGCTGAGAAGTTGTGCAACAGGAAATCTAGCCTGAAGTTTAGGGAGCACTTAGAAAAACAAAGGATTAGCTGGGTGTTCATGGTCAAAGTCATTGGTTAGGCTTAAATTCTGAGAGGACTACTGGCTACACCCAATCTGAAGTTCTGTAGAGTAGAAGTTTACTTCGTAATTTTGGTACCTTTCCTTTTATATCTTGGGCCTGAGTCTGATACATCACTTATGCCAATGTTAAAGAGGCGCACTACAAAAGGTTTTTTTTTCTCCTGCTGATAATAGCTCACCTTAACTGATCACTCTCGTTATAGTGGGTATGGCAACACCCAAGTTTTCATGTTCTCTGTGTATGTGTATGTATATACATATCTTCCTACTGTATTTTCCACTGCATGCCTCCAATGAAGTGGGCTTTAGCCTACGAAAGCTTATGCTCAAATAAATTTGTTAGTCTCTAAGGTGCCACAAGTACTCCTCGTTCTTTTTGCTGATACTGAATACCACTCTGAAACCTGTCAGGTGTAACTCAGTTACAATCCATGTTGTTACACTGACATAAATGAAAACAGAACCAGGCCTTGTGTATTTTTTTAGTGATCGCCTTTTGGAGGAATCCCTGTTTTAAAAAGTGGTTTTCTATTGAGTTAGCAGTTCAGTATTTTGTGAACTCTTAAGATGGGCTTTGTCTGGAAAGTGATTGTAAAAATGGCATTTTCTTATTCAACCATTCTGCACTCTGTGTTTATTCAGAGTCATATCTGCTGTCCTACTGACAAAAATAAATTTTGTTACTTTCATGTTAGTGTTGCAAAACTATTAGAGAGACAAGGTGGATGGGATAATATCTTTTATTGGGCCAGCTTCTGTTGGTGAGAGAGACATACTTTTGAGGGCTCCTCTGAGTTATATATATTGGCTTGTTCATCATCTGTAGTTTTGGTCCAAAGTTCCGGTTGCAAGTATCTTTATTACTGGTGATGAGGCATGAGCCAAAAAAGAATCCAGTTTGTCTCTCAGACCCAGGCTAGGTTTGCTGGACTGGTGGTTAGAAAAAACATCTTTTACTTGTTACGTGACCAGTTGATAAGAAAGACAATAAACCTGGAATCCCACAATTACTATTTTTACAGTTCATTTTCAAAGTGTAATTGTACTTTATTGCACTTTGGGTTACATATCAGGATACCAGCAGGGATTCTGTAAGTTACTTTACTTTGAAAGCATGGCAAAGTTCCAGGTGAATTTACAGTGGGGGCTTTCAGTGAAGTTCCCATTGAAAAGGATCAGTAGTTGTCAGGGTAGTGGAAGTAAATTTCTGGTGTTAAGTTATATATTCGTTAAGTTATACGTTCTGTGTCATGCACTAGCGTATGATGTATTTATAAGAAAATACTACCAATGTCAAGGATAACGCATGGTCCTTTGTGGATGGTGCAAATGACTATTAGGCTATCCTAGATACATGATTCAAGAAGAGCCAAAAAGAAAAGCTCTAAGTTTTGTTTCTATCATACTTAATTTTTGAAGCTGATCCAAGTATATGTATATTGAAATGAGCACTGAAATTCTTGGTGGTATGTGCCAGAAATATCACTAAATAGAAGCCTGCTGTCTTACCAAGGAGGAGACCCACTGTAATTGATGATGAAAATTGATGTGCTTGGTCCTTTCTTGAGAGAGAAGGGTTTTCATGAGCATCTAATCCACAGAGTGCCATTGCTACTCCATTTTCTTTTCCCATGCCATCACTAAGCACCACTATCAGACCAACTTTGTCACACGTTCTTTCATCTGTCAAGATGTTGGACGGCCATGTAATCATATCACTCCATTGGCATGACCAGTCTGTTGGGAAGGCAATGGGGCCAAACAGATTTAGGCGGCGACCAGATACGAAGGGGTTTGTAAAATCCATTGCCCTCCTGCTTTAAGCTTGAGAGATCCTGCTGCTGTTTGCTTTTGAAAAGAGGACAAAATTATCTAGTAATATTTAAAATGAAGCCAAGAGTTATTTCTAGATGCCTCTCAAGGGATTTTGTGCCATCTGAAAAAGCATGAATATAGGAATAATTGGAAAGAGTATTAAGCGGATTTAAATTTTGCTGACTTTAATACTTTTTTTCACCAAAATACTCTTTGAGCAAGTAAATGGCTTAAATATGAAATCATACTGTAGGGCTAGACTGTATATTTACAATCTGCCGAGTAAGGGGCAACAAGTAGCTGCGCTGCCCCAGGAACAGACCAGAGAATGAATTGTGACTTTGAGTCACCATTTGTTTAATGGTTCCCCCACTCCCACTCCCCCGCGCTTCAGCTCTAGTGGGGAAGTAATCCACTATTAGTATGGGCCCGTGGTAGAGCCCCCTCCACAGCAACTCAGTTCTTTTGGCCGGCAACTTTCCACGGGATAGTCAGGGCTTCCCCTGTTCTCCACCCACCTGCACAGTAGACTGAGTAGCAGTCCCACAGAGGCTGCTCAGCCCCCCACGCTCTGCCCCATGAAACAAGGAACCTGTGCAGGGGGCAGAGACCCTCATCCCCCCCCCTGCTCTCTTGCATTAGCTTTAAGACTAATTGTTTAGCAAATGCGAAGCATATAAAATTCATACTACAACACATGTATAGAAATTATAATGGATACATGAGGAATTTCAAGACTGCTTCTCTTGCAGTAGTTCAAACTGTATGTACTGTAGTGGAAAAGACTACAGTATTCCCTACCTCTTGTATTCATTTTTCATTGTCTCTTTGAGAGAGTCATTTTCCTATAAATGTAATGATTTAATATTATTGAAGTTTACAGGAATCTTTCCTCAATTAGGTTTGCGTACTTATAATTTCTATGCCATTAAAAAGATACTCAAAGTATTTTCATGATGTTTCTTAAATATTTTTTTCATTTCTAGCATCTTGGAATCTTGAAAATAAATAATAATGCATCCTTAACTCATTCTTTCCCCCACCACTCAATATGTATATTTATTTGTTATCATACTGTTGTTCCCAAGTGCTGCTATTGGTTTTGTTTTTAGGGAAAAAACCAAGTACTGATGCATCAATTTTGACAAAGCTCAAAGAAGAATTTTACGAAATTCATAAATTTTAAAAGAGAACTCTTTAGGTCAGCATTATGAACTTTTACACTGGCTCTTCAGCAAATCACACAGGATTGCATTAATTATTTCTCAGTGTGATTTCAGTCTCGGCAGATCATTATCTGTAATCATAAACTGAATGCTCAGTGTACTGAATGCATGTTACGTTGTTCTATAAATTTCACTGTCACCTGCCTGCAGAATATTTTTGTTGCGCTATTTTGAGATTTCAGAGTTGGTGAAATCCTGTCAGAGTGACACCTGACCCAAGCTTTGTACAGATGCTACTCAGTAGTGCAGTGAGGTCCTGTCTTTAGCAAATGACTGTACTATTTCCTTGTTGTTTTCAGTCTTTTGCAGTTCAGGGCCTAGGATCTTGAGGCTGCTCTAGTACTTTACTCGATGGCTTCAGAATGTAGCAACGCAAACCTGTCAAGTGTCTGCTTCCCAGCATTTTCTTGTTTTTATTGTTTGCTGCTGAGAACAAGTCGGTTCCTAATTTACTGGCTTTTATCTCTTGAAATGTTTCTTTGCTATCATACAAATATAGAGGTTAACTTTAATTTGTTTTTGAAAAATGGGTGTTCTCGATTTATAAATAATACTGTTTCTCTATTTCATTGTAGGCATTCGACCTCCGATCATGAATGGGCCCATGCACCCACGCCCTTTGGTAGCTTTGCTGGATGGCAGGGATTGTACAGTAGAAATGCCTATTCTGAAGGATGTAGCCACGGTGGCATTTTGTGATGCTCAGTCCACACAAGAAATTCATGAAAAGGTAAAACATTTCAATCACACTCCTGGTTGGCAAGTATAATATAAGCATTTTTACAGTTACAAGAGAACATGTACATTATTATGTAAGTGACAGTATTTTGGTTAACAGTTGAAAAGATACCCAAATTGGTCAGGAATTAGGCAAACTTCATATAGAGGGGGAAACAGAGAATAATACCTTTATTCAAACACAATGAAATATAGCCCTGGGCACCTTGCCTTAGATGGGACATTGGCCTTGTGTTCATCCACTACATATACACCTCTACCCCAATAAAATGTGATCTCATATAATGTGAATTCGGATATAATGCGGTAAAGCAGTGCTCTGGGGGGTGGGGCTGCGCACTCCGGTGGATCAGTGCCTCAGCGTGTCTGGCTCCCACACGCTGCTCTGAGCAGCGTGTTAAGTAAGGGTGCCGGGCCGGGGCAGAGGGGTTGGATAATGGGGCCACGGGGGGAAGGGGAACAGGGGTCGATTCAGACATGCAGGGGCAGTGTGGCGGGGGGGCTCATGGCTGGGAGTTCATGCCCCAGCCTGGGTGCCTGTGACCGGAGGGAGCAGGTCCGTGCTGCAGCCCCGGCCCCAGCTCCGCGCTTCCCGCTCCCTGGCCCCTCCACCGGGCTGGGCGGTTTTGCTGCAGCCGCTGCTTCGCGCAGCTCCTGCCCCCCTCCCGTGCCCCCGCCTGAGACCCTCTGCCCCTACTAACAAAAATGATTTAGTTTGCAAGTTTACAAACATTTTATCCTAAAGGAATAAAAATATCTTTCCTCGTAAAATTTCGAAGCACATTATTTCTTTGTATACTCTAATCCCTCTACCCCGATATAACACGGTTTCACCTATAACACAGTAAGATTTTTTGGCTCCTGAGGACCGCGTTATATCTGGGTAGAGGTATAGTAGAATTTCATTCATAGAGAGAATTACAGTAGCTGAGAAACAGTATGTATATTGTAAATATTAGTATGATAGCATATAAACTGAGAACTTACAAAGCAAGAAAGATTGCCCTCTCAGCCACAGGTCCCTCAAGCTTTGAGTGGGTGCCTCATGCACTGAGAACTTAAACTGCAGTAAATAATTGCTGAAACAAATTTTAGCAAAAGGTTCATTAGTATTGGGGTTGGGTGAATAAGCTGCTATTCCGATTCAGGCATTCCTATCAGCCACTTCACTGGACTCCCCCAAAAGTTCAAGAACCTGTGAAACAGCCTGGGGAGGGGAGGCCTTCCAGGTTTGTTAAGAGACAGTTGTCTAGGGCTGTCAGCTGGCTTGTATGCCTGTATTCCCTGTTGGGGGACTGGTGTCATGGTAAGGTCTGCTCCCCACCCAAGCTCCCTTGCATTTTCTAGGGGAGGAGAACACCTCACTCCCATATTTCAGGAGCAATAGGATGGGGAAAACCCTGCTGCTCTTGCTCCTCACTAACAGACCAGGGCCTCATATGACCCATATTGCCAACTTGGGAACTAAGGAAACCTTATCTTCCAGCTACCAAAAATCGGTACCATGTACAATGAGCATGGTAGCAGAGGAGAACTAGATGGGGAAACGGGGATTCACCCCACAAGGATGTCTTCCCTCCTTGCTCCCAGAAGATCAGAAGGAGGTATAATGGCAGGCTAGTGCAGGCTCACATGCTAACTTGATGGACAGGCCAGGTAGGTGCAGGTAAACAAGTGTTTCTATGTCTGCTGCAGTGAGCTTCCTGATGCAGATGGAGCTATGTGAATACAGAGCTGAATATGTCCCAAGTGTTAGGGATTTAGTCTGTGTATTGAATTGAGCTAATGTTCTTGTGCCTCTGCAAATATATTATTGGTCTTGTCCCTGTCCAATTATTGTAATATTTAGGCATGTGACAGTTCATGGCTCTTTTTTCAAATGTTAGATAGAAACTGAAACCATAACTGAACTATTAACTTTATTTGCTCCACATTCTTACAAAATATAGCACTGATAAACCTTTAAAAGGCAAGCGTTTTTATGTCGGAAAGACCTAATCCTCCCTCAGATGGCTATATATTAAAGACAGCTCTTGAAAGTACAAACAATAATAGTTTCCTTTCAGTTATTAAGTGAATGACTTCTATTTTATGCAGTGCCTTTCTGGTATAATCAAATCAACCAACTGTTGTGTTCATTATTTCTTTGGCAATCAGATTTCTATTCAAAAAATGATTTTTGTTGTTTTAAACTCTCTTGAAAATTAGAATTTATAAAGGAAAGCTTGATGATATCCTTAAACATAGTGGACTAGCTGTTTTGTAACTATATAAAGAGAAGTCTAAAGGATTTTTTATGTCTTATCAACAGTACAGACTTGTAGTCCTCATTCTTATCATGTTTATGGGAAATGTTCTTTTTTTCCTTATGGAAATGTTCAACAGAGGAATGGCTACATACTCCTCAAGTTCTATAAATAGTTCCTCTCTGTTGTGGATTCTTGGACTTCCTGTCTTGCTTTTAAAAGTCATTGTACCGTAGTCCACTGTTGTCAGAATCATTATCAAGAATTATCTTAAATATTGTTTTCCTGCACTATCAGTGTTGTCTTAGTTCCTCTGACTCAGTTCCCATTGATTTTTGAGTTTTATTTATTTTGAGATATAAAGGAATCTTAATATGTAGTGAAGAAAGAGAAATAAATTCCTCATTCTAAAAAGGAGACCCCATTTCATTTTTCTGAATGTCCTTTCTTCAATATGCAGTTGATTTCCCACAGAGTAGAAGCCGCTTTAAAAAAAAATAGTATACTTCTGGAGGGGAGTTATCTTTTAATAAAAGATTATAAATTATAAGTCAAGGGTCCGAGCTGATGAATTTTTAGTCTTGACCAATGCCCATTAAAGTCAACGGGAGTTTTTCTATTTACTTGAGTGGTCATTGGATTAGGCCCTTAGTGTACACTCACTCTCTCTCCTTATGCAGAATCAATGATGTTTTGGAAGAAATGGGATAATATCAACTTAAATATGTCCCAAAATTTAGGTTTTGTGATAAACTTTTTTCAACAATAATCACATTTTACAAAACCCTAAGACAAACAGAAATGATGTCATGATTCTTTTTACTTCCCATTGAAACAAATAAATATTTCCATGTAGTGTTTGCAACTCAGACATTTCAACACAGTGCAAGTACATGAGAACCTAAAAGTGTAATTGACTGGAAACTACTAGAAACAAATATGAGATTTACCATTCTGACTTCTTTGGATGATTTGAGAGAAATGCAGAAGAATAAAACAACATCATAAATATTTAAAATGCATTTACATTTTTAAATTTTATTTAATTTTTAAGGATCTAAGAGATTAATTGTGACACGCATAAGGCCATTTCTTATTTCTTAATTTAAAATATATATTAACCTGACCAAGTTTGAGGGTTTCCTATTTTTATGTACATCCATATTTAAAACACAAAGAAGTGCATATTGCTTTAAATTTATTTTAAATTGTCCTTAAAAAGTTCTAAACTCCTCATTTTTGTGTCCTACCTTAAGCCATCTTCATAGGAAGTTAATAGGGGTAATAGCTGGATCCAATTGATAAGGAGCTAGGAGGAGATGTTATGGGCAAAGAACATAACTATTCTTTAGACTTCATTTTTTTCTAGATAACAGCAGTCCACCCTTCAGTTGGACATGGTTGTTTATGTTGGCACCTGCAGTCCTCGTACCTTCAAATGATTTCTTAACTAAAATGCAATCAATAGAATCATTGACCTATAAATGCCCTTAATTTCTCCAAATTGGAAGTCTCCTACCCAACAAAAACACCCCAGGGAAGAAATTAATATAATTTGTATAAATTGTTAGACTGATGACGTTTCAGAGAAATATCAAATGTGTTTGTTCTAATCCATGGTTCAGCCAGAATGAGCATTCAGAAGTTCAAAATTGTAGCTGAAAGGGGCACTTGTTTCAAAATATAGCTTGAAAAGGGCACTCCAATGACTGAAATCTGATGAAGACTGTTGACCTTTTGGTGACCTCTGATGGAAAGGTCACATTTTGAGTTTTCTAGTATTCAGGATCACAGAATGAATTTATGTAACAAATCCCAATTTGTTGCTGCCTACAGGAACACTGAAATTAACTCTATCACTTATTAAGAGCCCAGTACTGTGTGGTGCTGACCATCCTTTATTTCCATTGTCTTCAGTGGGACAGGAGGGAGCTCAACACCTCTCAGGGTCATACTCTAACAGTATCCATATTATTACTATTATTATTTAATAATGTGCTGTGATGCTTTACAAGCAAAAAATATTTCTCAAAATGTTTAAAAACTAAATTCACACACAACACAATATTAGGATGGAGTTAATGTTACATATGAAGTTTATATCTTAATGTAACACAGTATTTCAGTATTTCCATTTTAAAAAAACAAAGGCTTAAAATAAAGAAAATTACCAGGTGATTTGCTGAACAGTTCAATAATTGTTTCACGCTTTAAATTCAGATTTCTGGGCATACTAACAACTGTCACTCTGCACCACTAAATTATTCTGTTATTCAAAATATGTATTTTTTCACATCTGTCGTCTACCATACCCTGATGCTAAACAAGTATTTACATCAGACCATTTCAGGGTATGGAGGAAAGGAAGAAAGAGGGAGAGATGATAGAAACCTAAGGAAAAGGGAGTAAATTACTGATCTCAAAAAAGCATTTCTCTCAATAAAAACAGAATTTCTGTTTCATATATTTCTTGGTTTTTTGAAAGACACAAAGGTCTGCTATGAGAGCAGGGTGAAGATTAGAGGTGTAATATATGAGGGGAAGATTTTAGAGCAGATAGTGAGGGAGGAGCAACAGAATTGGAGGAGAGCCAGTATTTGGGATGTTAATAATAAACAGTGGGTAAACATTACCAGTCTTTACCCATTTTCCTGTTGTTCCCCATACACTAATATAGGAAAAACCTCTCAAACCAGAAAAAAGTTTCAAATCTAGTAGTTTTCAACTGTAATGATTGAAAATAATT